AACAAGTTGGCAAACCATCTGCTCCCTTTCCCTTCTCCTCCCCTCCCCTCTTTCTTCCTCTTCCTCTCTCTTTTACTCCCTCTCCCCTCCATCCCTCCTTTCCTACCTTTCTCTCTGTCTACCTCACTACCTACCTCAGGTTCTCCTCTCTCTGCTTGCTGCTGCTCTGTAGGTCAGGTTCAGTTCTTGGCTGGTCAGGTTCAGTGCTTGTGACAGTGGAAAAAGTCAAAACTTAGGAGACATTTCACAGCTCTGACTGTTGTGTTGGGAAATCACACGTTATTGTACCTGTCTGTCCAGATTTCATAGTTCAATAGTAATACTACCACGACTACTCCAACTGTAATATCCTGCCCATGAAACCCACATGATACATTCTAAGTAACGTGCTCACTCTTGTGTGGTATCTGCTTGTACCAGCTCTTTTCACAGCCATGCTTCACAGCAAGATAATGGGAGAAAATTAGTTTCTGCTCTCTAGACATGAAATAATTGTTAAAGACAAAAACATTTGCCATGCACAATGTTATTTTTTGAAAAATAAGCTCATGCAAAGTGAAGGGTCAAAACATATGTGAGGATCTGAGTTCAGAACAAAGAGCTCTCACATTGCTTGATATATTAAGAGAACCAGTTTCAGAACAAGAGTAGATGACTTAAAAGGGTTTAACAACATCTTTTCCTGGGTGGGTTATGCATTCATTGCATCCCTGTCACCATCCTCCAAGCAGCCATTAAACCAATAGCAGCCTAGCACAGAGAGAACACAGGATGTAAAAAGGAGAGAGAGAGTTTTATTTTAAAAAATGGCACTAAAAGAAACATGAATTAGGAAAAATGTTACACAGTAGAGGGCAAATGATGCTAAGGGGAAGTGCTAGGTGGTTCTGATGTGGAGTTTGGAGGACTCAAGCATCACCAGCTTGTCTGACGCCTGAGATCCAGGTAGTCATGATGTGGAGTTTGGAGGACTCAAGCATCACCAGCTTGTCTGATGCCTGAGATCCAGGTAGTCATGATATGGAGTTTGGAGGACTCAAGCATCACCAGCGTGTCTGATGCCTGAGATCCAGATCGTCACACTGTAGTTTACAGCATCAGAATCTGGCATGTGGCTCAGGGGCAGCGTGTTCACCTGGCATGTCACATGGTCCTTAGACGAGGTGTGATACTGAATAATGTGATTTATGTAATCTTGGGCAATTTTCAATCATTCTTGAGCTATATAGAAAAAGCCTGCCTGAAAAATGCTCAAGTATTGTGTTCTAATGCATGCATTTCTTTCTCTACTTTGTTTTATTTCAGTTTATTCTTCTACAGCAACATCACACTATAATGGAGAAACTCTCTAAGCCATTAGATACTTTTTGTAACCCTCTTATTTTCTTCTATTGTCATATTGTGTATCTGAAAATATAGGCCATATATTGTAGGAGTCCTCACAGTAAAGAGCCTTGTCTTTAATCTAGATTTAATTAATAGGAGATTGGTTGACATTTTCACCATTTAAGATGAAGTTGGCTATGGATTTATCATATATAACCTTTATTATGTTGAGATATGTTATTTTGATCCTTATCCTTTCTAGAACTTTTATCATAGAGTAAAGTTGGTATTGTCAAAAACTTTTCTGTACCCATTGAAATTATCACATAATTTGTATCTTTGAGTATTTTCATACTATATTGTATTTTTTTTTAATTTATGGATATTGAACCACTCCATGTGCAAGCAGTTTTTCAGGATTTTGTTTTTATTTGTATTGATCAGAGATAAGGGTCCAGAATTTTATTTTGTTGCTACATCTTTTCCTGGTTGGGATTATGGAGTAACACTAGGACTGTAGAAGAAATTTGGAGGTCTTCTTTCAACAAGAATATAATTGCTTTATAAGTGTTGGTTGTAGTTCTTCTCTAAAAATCTAGTAAACTGTTATGAATCTCTCCAGATCTGTGCTTTCATACTTAGAGGTCTTTTAAAAAAGTAGTACTGCTTAAATTTCTACTGTTCTTACAGCTCTTTTAAAGTTACTAATCCTATCTTTGTTTTACTTTGATGGACCAGTTATATCCACAAATTTACTGGGTTTTAATTTTATCAGCTTATTGGAATAGAGAATTTTAAAGTATGGATTTGTCACTCTCCAAGCTCCTCTGATATTTGTTGTCACTGCTCCTTCCCATCTCTACCTTTTTTAACTTCCTCCATCAATAGTCCTCTTTTTCTTCTGGTTTTTACTAGTTTTGATCAATGTTTATGATAATCACCAAAATTAGCCTTGATGTCTTTCTTGATGAACACTGGAAGTTTCTAGTTTCTAGTACTTTCTCACTGATGATCTAACAAGATACGTTTGAGTTTGTTTTCTCAAATGGATCTTTATTCATTTTATTCATTGCACATTATTTTAAAAGGGAACTTTAGTTTATATTCACTGCTAATGACAATCATTTATACTCTGTAAATCTTTGTCTTCCTGTTTGTTTTCAGTGGATAAATTTGAAATGCACATTTTCTGAAAAGTCAAGGAGTAACTGCATTTGAAGGCATATTTTACCAAGTATAACTCTTTGTGACCGGTACATTCTTATTTTATCTTAATTATTTTAAAAGAAAGTAAGAGCTTGCTGGCCTATAAAACCCAAACACATGAGCTAAGGGACCAGGGGAAGTAGAGGCTCCTGCCAACATGGACTTTCCTCTGGGTCCTTGTTTTTTTGTTTGTTTTATATTTCTAAGCCAGAAGGCCTACAGCCCACAATCCCATGCTTATATTGTTATTGTCTTACTGTTAAAGATTATTTGCCCTCTTGTCTAAGATCTATGTAGAAGAGGTTAAGAAATATTGTGTAGACAAATCAGTCAAACTTTACATGATAGTCAATGATTTTTATTGATAACCACCATTCCTCTCATTGAGAAATTGATGCTACTAAGTATGACATGGGAATGTTTCAACTTCATTTTCCCATCATGCTTAGCTGCTGGAAAAAAAGGTGTCTAAAGTTAAAAGGATCACTAGAAAGTGCTATTCAGATGTCAAGATTCTACTACAGTGATTTATTTTTATCTTTATTGCTGTGGCTGAGTGGACCCCAAGGAGGTTGTAGGCAGTTTTTAAAATTAAGATTATCAAAAGTAATCCAATAAAACTTTTTAATCAGAAATGGTGTGAACCATTCATCCATGTTCTGAGAGACTCGATAACCCAAAAAAGGACTTAAGTGATAATGATTCTATATACTTATAATTTCTACCATATAATATAACTACCGTATCTTGGAGTCTTGGAGTCCCATATTCATGGAATCTTAAAAATGTATCACTATTATATATATATATATATATATATATATATATATATATATGTGTGTGTGTGTGTGTGTGTGTGTGTGTGTGTGTTCTTTTTCTTATCTAAATTTCCTAGAATATACTAATATTTCATTGGTTATTGTGGATAGCATAGATGTGGTTTAAAGTAAATGAGGAGATATATATGTTTTAAATGAAAACACAACACCATTTTACCCAAGGAATATTATAATACATGTTCATTGATACCTGACATTTTCTGGAACCATCTTCCATGGATACTTAGGGACAGTTGCACAGATTTCCCTGCTTCAAGACAAAAATATACTTCACTAGTTAGTTTTCATTATTATGTCATTTTGATCTTTTCTCTCTGTCTCTAGCTCTTACCGTGGAAAACTCAGACATTTAAACATAAACATAATTATTTCTACTACTCTACATTCCATGTTTTCTGTTATCATGTCAATGCATCATTTTTTAAAATTTAAGGTAATTTTTGAAGGTTTTACCATGTGGTTCATAGCTTCTTTGGGAACTCTAACTCGGTGTTGTACAGAACATGTAAGCTAAAATCCAACTTTGTCAGCATAATCTTCTGTCACTGAAAGCACGGGTTGGCCGTGTGTCACCCGTGCTCCCTAACTCCTACAATACTTCGCCCCCTCTTCCACAGAAAGGATGACTTTTGCTTTGTCTTATTATAGCTTGTTTTGTCCTATTTGGCTGTTGTCTCTTGGATGTCTGGTCTTTTCTCAAGAAAAACTTGTGAGGGAATGATTCGGGAGAAAAGGAAGGTGGGGAGCAAGCTGGAAAGAGTGGAGGGAGGGAAAACTGTGGTCACAACGTATTGTATGAGAAAAGAGTCTATTTTCAAAAAAATGAAAAACAAAACAAAACATGAGTTGGCTGACTCATATATTCAGAGATAGGCCTCCTGTTCAGATGTAGCCAATACGTAGCTCAGTCTCCATTGGGTTCCCTAGTAAGGGGAAGAGGGGATGTCTCTGACATGGACTCTGATGCCTTCACTTTGATCACTTCCCTCTGGCGGGGCATCCTTGTCAGGCCACATAGAAAGAGGATGCAGCCAGTCCTGATGGGACTTGATAGGCTTGGGTCAGTTGTTAAGCAGGAGAGCCTCCTCTTTCTGTGGACTAGGGGAGAGGAACAGGGGGAAGAGAGAGGAAGAGTGGGGCAGGGAGGAGATGACAGAGGAGCTATGACTGGGATGTAAAGTGAATAAATTAAAAATTAATTTAAATTAAAAAAAGGAAAATTTCAATAGACCTTCACTCACCAGCTTATAGCAGTTGAATGCTCAGAGAATAAATCTCCATGCACCAAAGCTGATACAATGTCATAGGTGAGTTGATTTTCTAGTGGAGGCAGTCCAAAAGCCCCTGATCTCAAAGATAAATCACTAGTCAAACCCCAAGAGTCAACAAAGAATCAGGAGACCATATTAGATGCAAGAATAAATGATTTTATTAGGTTAAATATAAATGAACTCACATACATAGTGCTATAATTTATGAATAAGTGATCAATCATTTCAAAAGACATTTGAATTTATATTTTGTTATTCAATCATTTCTTACTTGGGTACATCTAGCTTTGCCAGAGAAGGAATACCGCGACAGATTCGTTAGCACTAAGTTAGCTCGATTCATTAGTAATCAGGATGTTCAGCAATTTGCTCTCCAGACTGCTGATCCACAGGTGGGTCTGTGACAAGAAGACTGGAAGTTTGTAGAAGTCACGTAGGTTGGGTGGCAGAATCTCGATCCATGACCAAAGGAAGGGTAACAACGGACTCCATAATTCACAGGTCTAAAGACCCTGGAGCTGCAGCCTGAAGTGTAGTAGCTCCTTGACCCGTAGCCCAGGGAATGGCAGCTGCTGGATCCAAAGCCCTGAGAGCCAGCATATGTCCTGCAGGGACTGCAGAAGCCGGAGACCCTGGGGCTGAAGCAGGGCCGCTGGCAGGAGCTGTGCACCACCTGGGAAGTCTGGCATCTGATGGGCTGGAAGCAGTTCTGATGACAGCCACTGTGGAGAGAGGAGCCCAGGTGGCAGGGTCTGGGAGAGCAGAAGTTAGTGCTCTGGATGAGGTGACGGGGGTAGGCAGAGCCACAGGAGGAATAGGGGTAGTGTAGTTGACCCCCATAGGATCTAGAGGAGATGCTTCCAGAACAGCAGCTGTAGGACATGTTGAGGCGAGATGCGAGATCAGCTAGGCGTCAATGAGATAATGCTGTGGGTTTGAGCGTCACGGTCTAGACTTCACGTTATATATCTTCTTACACGGGTGTGTCCACATTCCATTGGCTCCATTCACCTCCCTCACCCTTCATGTGAAAATAATTTCCTTGGTTATTCAGTTTATTTTTTCACACATTCATTACTAATCGCACTTTAATCACTGTGGCATGTAGCAAGGAGATAAAAAGAATTTCTTTGCCCTGGAATTTGCTGTGCTTTGGTATTCAGTGTTACAGTTTGCCACATTTCCTAGTATCTTCCTTTCATTGTCCATGCATCTGCTGAGACTCTGTCCCTGTAGAAGGATTACATAAACTCATTCTTTATTTCCTTGACACTAAAAGTACTCGGTGGTTAGGTGGTTACTACTCAAAATTGTTTGTCTCTTCTATTTTTCACAAAAAAAGTGTAATAAAATCTTCAAATACTGTATTTAGGGTTTTGTCTTTTTTTTTTTTTTTTTTTTTAATGAACCATTAGATAAACTCCCCCTGTCATGGTGAGCTGATTATTAAGAACTTCAGCTGTGGAGTTTCTACCAATGGTTTTCTCAGTGCAGACCTTTCTTACATCATTTTCACGTAAAGAAGCAATAAATACCACCCTTTGAGTGGAACTTTAAAAAGAAATGTCATCATGGATTTTCTGATGAGACTGTTTTATAGTTTACAACTTTAATCTCTCTCTCTCTCTCTCTCTCTCTCTCTCTGTGTGTGTGTGTGTGTGTGTGAGAGAGAGAGAGAGAGAGAGAGAATATAAATTTGTTTTATTTTATTGTTTTCATAGAAAGTAACACTCTTGAATGACCTCATTTATACGTACCTAAAATGCAATTTTAGGGATTGCTATTTTTTTTTCTATAACACTAACTGCAGGTCTTGGAGCCAGGTAGCTACTGAAGCAAAGGCTGGGTAACCACGCTGCTGAAGAGCTGGAACTGCTCTTGCCTCCTTACATCTCATGGCACGGCAGAAGACTTATGCCTTAACTGTGGCTTCCTTAAGCAGAGCCCATCTTCAAACTCTGAAAACTCAACTCTAATTTATCTTAAAAGTAATCTGTTAAGCCCTTTTATATTAATATGTAAAAGTCTGGTAAACCCTTATTTACCTTTTCTGGTAATACTTGCACTGAATTGTGTTCAACTAGAAAATTCCATGCCTCAGTGATTTTTATACATTTCAGGAATAGTTTATTTTCTAGCTACATACAGAAATGGCTGGAAAATTCATAGTCAGATTAATAGTGACACAGTCTTCTTATTTGTTTTGTATCTATTCCTCATCCTCTGAGCCTGGCATTTTATGGGGTTTAACTAAGCGAGATGGCATTCCCAAATGTCATAGTATAGAAGTTGCCTTAAATGCCCAAGAATGAACCAGCTGTATGCCAAGCACGCACACTATTCAGAGCACTTCCTTAATCTGTTTTATGATTATTTCTCTCATGCAGAACCCAAAGGTGGCATGTGTCACCCAAAATGACCTTGTGCAATGCTCAGGCCGCCATTCTGACTCACTTAAGAGAATAAGCTCTGTTTATGAATGGACACCTACTTATTTTCTTAAAGCAGTGAGTGCCATTCTCAGCACGTGGCCTTCCTTCTGATGCCATCTGTGAACTCCTTTGTTCAGAAGTACCCCTCTATTATTATTAGAAGGTAATTCTATGAGACAGACAGAGAGAGAGAGAGAGGGAGAAAGATACAAAGAGAGAGAGAGAATTCTTAATACCTCAAAGTTTCCGCTTTCCAAGCCAGGTACCGATAGTGCAGAATAAACACTAGAATTACTTGACCATAAAGCAATTCTAATTAATGCTGCTTCCACTCATTTGTAATTACATTATTATTTTTCATTAGAGTTATATGTGCACTTTGTGCAAATGCTAATAAACAACCCATAAATGCTAATAAATATGTCCTTCGGAATGGAAGAAAGGGCGGAACTAAGTAAAGCAGCTTTAATATCTCCCAAAGGGATCATGGAAACACTAATGTACTCCACACTTCTATATACACAGGCAAGATGTTTAAGATGATACATCTGTGTAGCATTAATTTTAGACTTAGTGGTTTCTCTCTCTCTTTTTCTCTGTAACTATAGACATAGAATTGGGAGGAGGTCTCTGGAAAGGCCTTCTGGGGACATGGAGGGACAATGAAATATAAATGAAAACACATTGTATACCATATGAAATACTCAAATAATAACAATATTAAAATGCTTTTGTTTCTCTCTTTTCCTCCCTATTTACCTTTTTTTCTCACTATTTCCCCATTCTTGAGAAATACCAATATGTACATTAAAACAAACATAAAAGTTAACTTCCACCACAGTGTTGCTTGTCAAAAGTTGCTTGCCTTTCAAGGCCTTGCAAAACTGTTGTTTTCCAAATTGTTACACATGCCACTTAACCTTCAAACCAACAATTTCTTACTGCAGGATTTTTATAAATTAAAGAAAAAACATGCCCCCCCCCATCAGTGGACTTGGCAAGGGGCACGGTGGAGATGAGGGAGGGAGGGAGGAACTGGGAGGGAATGAGGGATTGGGACACGGCTGGGGTACAGAGTTAATAAAATGTAACTGATAAGAAAAAATAAAATACAAAATAAAAGAAAAAAGAAAAAACATGCTTTCAAATTCAACAAAATTTGGCAATAGCAAAAAGAATAGAATACTAGAGCTCACACCCCTGTGTAGTTACATTTGTATTCACTTTCATTTTCTCAGAAATTGAGCTTTCGAGGCCAAAAGCAGTCGATGCTCCCCTAGTTCTTCCTTATGATGAATCTGGCTCCTTACTGTGTTTTCTCCCTTTTCACCCATGAGGTTTATTATGTGTTGAATCTGGTAATGTGTTGAATCTGGTAATTGGACCATAAGACTCCTGACAGCTGGAAGGCTTGATGCAAGGTGATAGGCCTTGCCTTCATGCTCCCTGCCAGGTCCAGCCTTGCCTTTCTCCGAGGTCCTCTCAAATTCTCCTTGGCATCCACAACAACTCGTTGCACTAGCTGGTTTTGTTCCAAGCAATGTAAAAATGTAATCGGCTTCCAACCTGCTCTTTCTGCATATCTGCTTCTAAGAGCCTACACTTGTACCAAGGAAGCAACTTGAAGAAATCCAGCAGTCTACATAAAATTATGTGCAGTAACACAGCAGCCTCAGTACATTTTTTTAGAAATTATTTCCTCAAAATTTCAGCATTTTGTCTCAATTGCACCCTCTGTTCTCTCTTAAAATGAAATAGACTAGACATTAGAGAAAGTAGTCCTATGTGTGCCAGCTCTAGTCTGATTCTTTCTCAGTTGATGATGATGATGATAGATTTTATTTATTTTATTTTATTTTTTATTTTTTTAATTCTTTATTAATTACACTTTATTCACTTTGTATCCCCCCTGTGGTTCCCTCCCTCCTCCTGTCCCAATCCCTCCCTTCCTCTACCCTCTGCATGCATGCCCCTCCCCAAGTACACTGATAGGGGAGGTCTTCTTTTCCTTCCTTCTGATCCTAGTCAATTAGGTCTCATCAGGCGTGGCTGCCTTGTCTTCTTCTGTGGCCTGGTAATGCTGCTTTCCCCTCAGGGTGAGGTAATTAAACAGCAGGCCAATCAGTTCATGTCAGAGACAGTCCCTGTTCCTATTACAATGGAACCCACTTGGATACTGAACTGCCATGGGCTACATCTGTGCAGGGGTCTTAGGTTATCTCCAGGCATGGTCCTTGGTTGGAGTATCAGTCTCAGGAAAGACCCCTGTGCTCAGATTTTTTGGTTCTGTTGCTCTCCTTGTGGAGTTTCTGTCCTCTCCAGATCTTACTGTTTTCCACTTCTTTCCTAAGATTCCCTGCACTCTGCCCAAAGGTTGCCCATAAGTCTCAGCATCTGCATGGGGAGTCTGCAGGGCAGAGCCTTTCAGAGGTCCTCTGTGTCAGACTCCTGATTTGTTCCCTCTTTTCTCCTTCTTCTGATGTCCATCCTCTTTGCCTTTCCAGATAGGAATTGAGCATTTTAGCAAGAGTCCTCCCTCTTGATTAGTTTCTTTAGGTGTACAGATTTTAGTAGGTTTATCTATATTATATGTCTATATGAGTGAGTATATATCATGTGCATCTTTCTGCTTGTGGGATAGCTCACTCAAGATAATCTTTTCCAATCCCACCATTTACCTGCAAATTTCATGATTTCCTTGTTTTTTTATTGCTGAGTAATATTCCATTGTGTAGATATACCACAATTTGTGCATCCATTCCTCCACTGAGGGGCATCTGGGCTGTTTCCAGCTTCTGGCTATTACAAATAAGGCTGCCACAAATATGGTTGAGCAAATGTCCTTATTGTGTACTTGAGACTCTTTTGGGTATATGCCTAGGAGAGGTATAGCTGGATCTTGAGGAAGCGCTATTCCTAGTTGTCTGAGAAAGCGCCAGATTGCTTTCCAGAGTGGTTGTACAAGGTTACATTCTCACCAGCAGTGGAGAAGGGTTCCCCTTTCTCCACAACCTTTCCAGTATGTGTTGTCATTTGAGTTTTTGATCTTAGCCATTCTGATGGGTGTAAGGTGAAATCTTAGGGTCGAGAAACACTTAAAGAAATGCTCAACCTCATTAGCCATCAGGGAAATGCAAATTAAAACGACCCTAAGATTTGATTTAAAATGGATGTCTAAGAAATTATTTTACAAACAAATTAAGATTCATAGTTTATATTGACAGTATCGTTTTTATAATAATGTTATCATGTTTAGCATGCATATATAACGTTATTTCACAGTGAAATTTTTATAAACATACTTAAAACATGACCACATACGTACTTATATTTCTTACATTCATTTGTCATCATTACACTCATATATTTAAGAATAAGCTGTAACCACTTACATTCTATTATTACTCATAGACCACTTAATGTCTGTGACTAATCCTACAACATGCACACG